GGTAATGTTTTTATACGAAGCCGTCTCAGTTAGATTGCCTCAGGGTATTGTAAATTAGCGTTAAGCCAACCAACCACAGACGCTGCTTTCTAAACTAAAGAAAGATATCTTAATTAGATCCTAGAATCCAAGGTGCATTAAATACATAAATTTTTATCAAACAGCAAGAAAATGAATGTTTTCATAAAGAAAAAGAAAGGGAACAAAAAAACTTGAATATGTGTAATGGCCTGATAAATATGACACAGAATAAATATTAATCATGCAAGACATGTGCCGAGTCAAATCTAATAGAGTTTACAAACTGGCTCAACTGGTATTCTCTTTACTTATGACTGACTGATCATGACTTTACAGCAAGGTGTTTGTGTCTTTCTTTACATCCTTTCTCTTAAAGGATAGCGTTAGGTTTACACCTAAGCAGACTCGGCACTTTTCTCGCTCTCGTCAGAATGACAAGACTCAGGATATGGTGTTGACCAAAAGTTGTCTCTACGCAGGGATACGTACTTTTTTGACTTACAGTGAAATTTTAAGAATGTGTCAAGACGTTTGATATCGGACAAGAGCAGGCTAAATGTTTCCTGTCAGGAGGTGAGCGTCATTGGTTTTTTAATGGAGTTATTTTTGTAAGAAAAATAAAGTAAAAATAAAATACAACACCAGGAGCACCGTTTTTGGAATGGATTTTTTAAATAATTAAAATAAAAATAAATATCTGGATGATTTCTTTGATGCCCTCGACATTTTACCCTCGACACTCGACATGGTACCCTCGAATCTCAAAGCTCGACCAAAACTCGCACTAGGTGGGTTTGGGGGGGGTCTTGACCTATAGACAAGTTATGGAAGTACGTCCCACGAGGGTTTTATAAAAAATTGATAAAAATGAAAGTAAATGTACATAGATATATAAATAAATAAGTGTAATGAATTAATAACTATTTAAATGGCCTAATTATAAACGACTGAAGAACAATAATGATCATGAAATGTGTTTTTGTCACTCGGTACAGATCTATATGTTAAGTGTATGCTGCCTCAGTTGGGTTCTCGCGGGACGCGAACCACTGACCTCTCGTTTGCTAGACGAGATCTCAACCCCTCGGCCACTGAGGCTTTTCGGGAGAAGGTCGTGTTACATCTATATTCTAATCAAATCCGCGCGTGATCTTTTACCCAACACGAGACGGGACGAACAATGTTCGGAACCCGCTCGGAATATCCGTTAATCAACGGAATTTTTTATTAATTGTGAATTTATGAAATGTTTTTATCAAATGTTTTTCTTATAGAGCGAGCAAAATCCTTGCATTTTATTTCTACAAGAAACGATATATAAATAGCTCGACTCTGTTCATTGGGCTGTAAAAGGGGGTGTAATAACCAGCCCAATACATCTGTGAGCTATTCCAGTCACAGGCAGCCCAAACAAGGTTCCTGTGTATGGTTTAAAGGGAAAGGGAATGTATGGGAGTTATGATAAAGTTACGAAAATAAAATGTTTCACTCAACAATTTGCCTCAAAACTTGCTGCAGTCGTTGCTTTTACTTTGTTCAGTCTTCTGGCGACGTTTCAGCGCGATTTGAGGCCGTTTAGTGGGTTTTTTCAAAATCCGCTCTTCTCTACCTAAATGATTTTTTTGCAGTGGTTCATCTTGTATGAACGATACCGCTGTTGCCGTTAGCTCGTCTCTTTTGTGTTGGTGTATCATACATACATTTCGCGCGTGTGATTGAGCTGTACCTCTGTAACCGACATTGCTTTTATTTTACTTTAAATTTTACTCACTAGCTAAAAGTTTTATTTCTTGGCCGGATTAAATCATTCTACTGGGTATTTTTACTGTGTGTTATTGCTTAAAATGCAAAAATGGAGTCGGTATCTATCATTTTTTTAAAATTCAGAAACGCGTATTTTATGTAGACGTATTATTATGAAAGGATTGATAGCTTTCCAACGTAAGAACGTGCAGTTGGAAAGCGTGTTCATTACGGTTCGTAGCACATTGATCACGTTAAGTGAATATGTTTATCTTGTATATTCCCTTGTGAATATTTTAGTCGCATGACATTTGATTATTCAAATATACGCTAAGTATATAAGTTAGTGTGATACTAAATGTATTTCTCTCGCTTGTTGGACAGCCAACATTTGTATCCAAACTTATACAAATTAACCGTTACAAATCTACAATTTAGAATATAGCTCTAGCCCTCGGAGCGTTAATACGTTGCATCGGTCGAGGACTACGTTTACCAGTGGGCTTTTTCCCCAAGAGGTTTTATCCTACTAGTTTTTTCGTAGTGGGCAGTGTATTATTGTAATGTAATAATGTATGTTCGTTTTCTAAACAATTGTAATAATTATATATTCATATTAATGATGAAGTGCACATGATTGAAAATAAAATGCTGGTCTAACGCTGTCCACCAGGCACCCAGCACAGTCACACTCCATTATGTTGTAGTGTCGTATATACTAGCGATTAGCGTTTGGTGCAAAGGGTAGGAACGAATACTGCGTGCTACGCACTCGTGGTATTGAGCCTCTTTCATCAAATATATACGCGTATTATTTTTCATTTATTTTTCGAGAACTCGCAGACCCATTACCATGTAACCTTGGTGTAACACAAGGAAGTATTCTTGGTGCACTCTAGATTTATTTATTATCTACATCAACGATCTACCTTACATTGTCCAGCATTCCCAATTATCCCTGCACGCTCATGATACAGTCTTATACTATTTCTACTCTTCAACTTCTGACATTGAAGATAAGCTTAATGAAGATCTTAAACTAGTTGCTGTTTGGTATAAACTCAATATTAACTCCGGCCTCTAAAAGTCATGCTGTTTGGAAGCAAGAGGAAAACCAACAATATCTCAACCATATGTCCATGCATGTACACTCGAAAAAGGTTGGTCAAATTTTGCACGGGACTATTTTGTTTTTGTTTCTTTTGTTTCTTCCAAAATTGTACAAACGCATGTCATTTCAAAAACGAGCTAATGGACACCGTAATCTTTTTTGCATTTTTGAAATCAGCATTAAATTTTAGGTCAAGGGAGGTATCAATTTTTAATTTTCTGTTCATTATTTACCAAAGTAGTCAGCCAGGTTYTACAGGACCTTCTTGAAAATCACTATAATGAAGAAGCATCCTGTTTGAATATTATTGTAAATAAATAAATAAAATAAAAGAATGATGCCTGATGGCGTCGAAACGTCGAGAAAAGTGTAGTTTACTTGTCGTCACAAATATTATAAGGAAAATTTTCAAAACGAAATGCATTCATTTATTATATGTTTATAGTCAGTGAAAATGAATTCTTAACAAGCCCCACCCCTGATAACTTCATTTTACATCAAACCGGACATGCACTCGGGCATTTAGTACATAATCATTGCCTAAAAAGAGTTGTTTAGTCATGAAAGCCTTACTTTCCAAGCCGTTCATAGTTAGTTCAATTTCGCAATAACACCTATTTCCTGTTGAAAACATTTGTCTAACGTAAGTTCAGTTTTCCAGATTTACAGTTATCTAGATTGTCAGTCTATGTTTTAGTTCTATACTTTATCCATTGTTACATGACTCCATTAACTAAGATCAGAAGAAATGCGCCGAAGAATGAAGAGGATTTCTTGCGCCCAATTACCGATTTATTTAAAACACAATATAAGAAAGAATAAGAAAGCCTGAGAAAGCCTGAAAATAAATAAAGTACAATACTAGCCTAGAATGAGTAAAAACGATTGAAGTTTGTGAGACCGAGTTTGCTGGGTTGCGAACTCGAGTAAACGATTCAGATGATATTATTTTTTGGGTACTAACTAAAAAGGACATCAAACATGAATTGGAAGCTTTTAGAGCGGAATACAACTTCGCAATAACACCTTGTTGTGGGGGAGCTGAGCCTCCTACGTGTTTAGGTAGAATCATAAAATCTTTTTTAATAAGAATAAGCGGAAAGAATTCAATACTAGATCTGTTGTTGTTTCTTTTTATAATTAACGAAAACCAACATAATATAAATGTTTGAAAAGTCGGCCAAAATGCATTTACAATCATTAAGGGAAGCCATTCAAATGCTAACCAATAAAATTCGAGACGTGGTACTTTTATATGCGGACAATTTTCCAGACTAAAAAATAATATACATAAGTACTCGACAAACTCTTTCAGCCACTCAAGTACTCACATTTCGTTTGTTAACATTGCCAAAGAATATGTTAATGTGAACGGACAACGTTTATTGTATTTTGGAAATTTTTAAAAATGATCTCCCTCACGATTCAAAGGGCTCAGCCGCCTCTGCTCAAGTTCAGTTTTCCAGATTCATTCAACCATCGATAAAGTTCAGTGAATAGCTGAATGAGTTGAATTAGCTTAATCTTCGTATTTCAAGTATTTAAATGTCTAAAGTGTTTGGATAAGAACAAAAGCGAGCAAGAGCTGTCACGAATGGTCTTGACGCGATATATGGTTTGAAAATGGAAGAATCTTCCACAAACTTAGCTTTAATAAGTCAATTTAAACGTTGTTCTTGGTTTTCCTCAGTAGTTTGATTCAGGTTGATTATTTCCAACCTAAACAGAATTAAGAGGGAATATACAACAAGTTAGTGAAAATGGAGATAATTGAGAAGATTTACCTATCATTTCTTGAATGGAAAATATATTAGAATAAGAAAACCTTAAGTTTCATTGTCAGTATTGAGTCGAACAATGAATAACGGGAAGCAACGGGATTTTCTTCGTGGTTTTGTTTAACGAGGTATTATGAATGATGTACGTTCAGAATTAAAAAGAATTAAGAGAGAATTTACAACAAGTAAGTGAAAATGTAGATGATTGAGAAGATTTACTTATCATTTCTTGAATCGGGAATTATATTAGAACAACTGAAAACCTTAATTTTGTCAGTATTGAGTTGAACAATGAATAACGGGAAGCAACGGGATTTGCTTCGTGGGTTTGTTTATGACAAGGTATTATGAATGATGTACGTTCAGTTAACGGGACACAGTCTGTTTCGTCGGTCATGGCATCAACACCAAACCAAACCATTTCCAGTTTTCAATGCCCGATAACTTTTGATTTTGATCCAACAAACATTACCCATCTTCCAGCATCAGTCGTCCCAACGTGGATTTCTGTAATTGCCGTCAACGTCGTCACCTCTCCGCTGACTGTCCTCATCAATTTGCTGGTTATCTGGACCGTGGTGGAAAATGAACAGCTCAAATCTAACAGCTACTACCTCTTGGTGGCCATCCTGTCGCTCAGTGATCTTCTGGTAGGACTCGTTATACAGCCGCTGTTTATCGCTTTGATAATCTGCGTCATAAACCAGTGTACATATGTATGTGAACTGATCATGGCCTATACGTTGTCTGCTTTACTTTGCTATGGATGGACAGCTGTTACCATGGTGATTGTCAGCCTGGAAAGATACTTTTTCATAGAACATCCACTGTACTATCAGACTTCAGTCACCCCCAAGAAGCTGATGATAGCATCGGCAGCTAGCTGGGCCCTTGTAGGGATTTCAAGAATATTTATAAGATTCCTGATGAACGAGTCCTTCTGGGTCAGACAGCTTCCTGGAATCCTATTGTTTGGTCCCAGCTTCGTCATCATTGTATTTTGCGTCAGTAAAGTACACCTGACGGCCCGTCGACAGATGAGAGCCATCGTCGCCCAGCAACAATCGGTAGCCATGAAGCAAAGTAAGATCAAGGAATACAAGCGCACTTTCACTCTAGGCTTGATAGTGCTAGCATCCGTGGCGTGTCTGTGTCCATTATTGGTTTTGAAGATCGTAGGAGCTGTGAAGGGCAACTTCAATGACGACATCAGATATACATCGCAAGCTATTTATTTCACCATCTTGCACTTGCAGTCGATTATCAACCCCATCATCTATTCCCTTCGTCTATCGGACATCCGCACTGGGGTGGCTAAAAGACTCCAATGCAATCGCCAATAAATATGAAACTCAAAACTATACCTATTATTTTCAAGAGCACGTTAAGACGAGTATCCAAGCTTCGGTTAACAACCATATAAAGATACCTCATGGTCTTGCAGTAAGAAATTCCACAGAGCATGAATCAAAATTCCTGTGAAACATTTTATTGTTCTATAAGTAAGTAGTTGGTGTAGCCTGTGCTTTGAAGTATATATATACTCAGATGGTTGAAGGACAAATAAAGGCTTGATGGGTGGGGGGAGGGGGAATTATAAGTACCCCTCCCCTCACCCCTACTACCTTGGAATTTTCCCCTCTAGCCATGGCCAAAACCCAAGTAAAATGAGATAACAGCAACAAGTTAGGCTAGGCTTTGAAGAGAGAGAACTGCCTATGATAATTTGAAACTGTCTGTATTCCTCTGAGATAAGAAGTAAACCAAGGCATGAGGCTGTCCTTTAGTCCTAAATATATCTAAACTTATGTTTATCTCTTAATGGTAACCTGTTGTTGTTGTTGTTTCAAATATCTTAGTAAAGGCAGAACAGTCGTGATGATATAGCTCGTAACACTATATACTCATACATCATATTTAATATTGTCATTTACATCATATTTAATATTGTCATTTACATCATATTTAATATTGTCATTTACATCATATTTAACATTGTCATTTGTAAGTGAATGATGGGGAGCTGGCTTCGAAAACTTTTGGTACTTCAGCTCCCCAGCACCTCATAACTATTTTTCTCGCTATTTATATTTTACTTTCTTTATTAGTTGAAACTTGTTAATTTATCATCTATTTTGTTATTGTAAAGTGTATCATGAGTGCAAACAAATAAAGAAAAATAGAGAAAAAACCACTGTGACCAATAAAGATATTTATCAAATAATTGAATCGTGACGTAGAAATGATATCACTGTAAGGCAGAAGTGTTCGACTGAAGCCCGGCTGCGAAAGTCTTATGTGAGTAGAGTTGTTTGTTGGCTTTGTTTTGTGCTTTGACTGTTTTTCTTCGGTTTTTCAGCCCTCCGCAACAATCAATTTCTATATTGCCTTCGGAATCTTATCGAAAAAGAGACAGTTTGTGCAACCCCTGTTAATTCACATTAAAAGCGATGCTTCAGTTTTGCAATTTTTTCGACTGTGATTGGCTAACTAATTTTCCACATCAGCTGGATACTCTAAGAACTAAAGGTCGATTGGTGCAAATTATCTTCGATAGAAATTAATAGATGCATAAGAAAAAAGAACTCGGATAGATTCAAGTGTTGAATACGACGCTCACAATTTACTGTTTTAAAATTTTTTACTAAGAACTGAACGAAGCTAATTTTTGAATGTCAAACAATTTATTACACATATATCAGTACAGTATTAGTTTGGTTTACAAATTCATGGAAAGATCATTGCCCTAGAATATGTACAAAAGAGAGTGGAATTTAATTGATGGATACTGAACAATGATTAAGCAAAAATCTTTGCTGAAAAAAGGTAAGTTATCGTCAAAAAAAAACTTATTTTCTGACATATATACACGTAGATAAACGATATTGCACAGGGAATTGGGTGAAGACAGTTGGGTTGCCACCATTGACCATTCCGTCATAGTAAAACCATTCATTGTGATATCTAAATATACACGTGTAATGACGCGCTGTTTCGTTTAGTAAAGTCGCTGCGTTAAGCTGATATCTGAAAGAAACAAGAGAAAAAAGAACCTCTAAGTTGAGGAAAATTAAACATTTTAGAAGAGGATCACTAAAGACGTCATTACAATGATAACAGATTAACGTCCAACCATGGAGCGTCCCTTTTATAATGCAAGGCTTGTTCCAGCAAAGAAACCAAAAAGCGTTCCTTTCGACTTCTGTTTCAGACCATTCAAATTGTTGAACAGACATAATATAATTAAACTTTGCTATTTGAAGGTACAAAACCTTGATGTTTCATTCCCCTTTTTTTATTTCTCTATACAATAATTGAGATAGAATAGACTGCGTATGCTGAAGTACTTGTAGAGTGGTTTTTCAGTAACTGCAAAGGACCAGAAATGTGCACTTTTATATTTCTCAACGTTATCCATCACTAGACACTCACCTGGTATTCAGCACATCGATGGTTTCTGGGAGATCTTTCCAGTTCAAATCCGTCTTTATTTGCGACATGAGCTCTACATCTACGGGTATAATGAGAGGCAGCCCATCCTTGAAAGACCTGGCATGGGTTCTTCTGCGACCATCACAACACAACGCGCTAAAAAATATTAATATGAAAATGTACTTAGAGATCACCCTTGAAATTATTTTGCCCCAAAACTAACAGAGAAAATCAATGCAAATAAAAGCCGTTTTCTTTCGCATATCTTAATTGGGATTCTCATTGCTCAATAAGCAATAAACTATTGGTTACGACCAACCAACCAATTCAACCAATTCAACCAACCAACCAACCAACCAACCAATCAATCAATCTATTTATGAAAATAAGAAAAACAATAAAATAAACAAACAAAAGCAATATAGCTAGCCAGACAGCCAGGGAGCATCCTTATTAACAACAAGATTAAGGCAAAAAATATTTACCTATTACTCTGAACAACTATTGGAGCTTCTTGTGGAGGGCGAGATGTAAATTTCTGCCCGCAATAAGAAACTTCTTTCTCTGGCTGGAACCATACTTGTACCTCCTCAGATAGTGAGATGTCACAATTTGCCCATGTGATGCAATTAGAGTTTGTTAAATATCTTTCCTTCGCAGGACAGTATCTAGAACAGCATGTAGACAACTGGGTGTTTTTGAAAAACAAGTCCATGTGTCTAATATAGTTATTCCACTCATTTCCGAAGAAATCAACCCTACCACGAAAGTCTGGGATCTTATTAACTTTCATTAGTTGATATTTCAACTTGTCAAACTGTCCAGAGTTATAAAGGTCTTCCAGTTGTTTCAAAAATTTCCCATCTGGCCTTTGTATTCGTTTTTTAATGGCTTGATTTTCCATGCAGAGATGATGGAAGATTACAATCCAATTGTCAATGGAACAGGTGTTTGTAAAGAAAACACTGCCGATGCTACCTCCCCACTTGGGAAAAGCGTGCGCAGACGGTGATTTGGAAGTCAAAGTAGAAGACTGCTTGGAGTGTTGACGACATATAGGAGGAAATGAATCTGGTACTTGTAACTTACTGTCAGTGGTGGCGCCATTTGTGTTTGAGCCTTGACCGTATCCGATGGAATTACTAAAAAGTACCTTGCTGTACGATTTCTTTTTCTTATGCTTGTTATTTCCTGAATGGGAGGCGTCCCTGTTTTCATTTTTCCCGGGTACATTTCTTGTACTGTTGTTGTCAATGACCTCTCTGTAGAAACCAGTAGATTCCTTCCTAGATTTTACATTCTTACATGATGGACGATCATCCAGTTTGAATGCTGATTCTTTCTCTAGCCCTCCTTTTATCTCCGCGTTAGGCGGTGCTTTCGCACAAGCTGAAGTAGTATGGTCCATTTTCCTATCTGCATATGCTTTTGATCCTCTATCTTTCTCAGCATCCTTCTTTGGGTGTGTTTCAAATGGAGAGGAAACCTTATTTGAGCTGCTTGAGATTTTAGGCGTGTTCAGCGTTCCCTTGTCCAGCGGCTGAACTCTGTTTTCTGAAACGTTAGGTTGCGCATCTCTATTCCGTTGACCGTAAGCAATGGAATTGCTAAATAACGTTTTCCCTTTTTTCTTTTTCGATCTATTCTTTCCGTTTCCGGAAGATCTGTCTTGATTGTCATATTTAACGATACAAGGCTCATTTCGTACCACTGAAGACTTTGCATGTTGTGTAAAATAGTCACTCACTGACGCTTCTACTACTTTCTCTGTATTAGTGGATGACTTCCGATTGTTCGTCTCCGAGCAAGGGATATTTGGACTGTTAGAAGAAATATATTTGTCTTTTTCTCCATTGTCTGCATGTATATTTCTAGAGGGACACTTGCTACAGCATCTTTCAAGCTTTTTTAGACGTTGCTTATGCTTATTTTTGGACTTCGTCCCAACAGAAGATTTTTCCGCGCTAGGTAGCGACTTGTCCAGTTTTTCTACCTCTACTTTTGGGTGAGAAGTTAGTTTTCTAGCAGCAGAGTCCGCCACTACTTCTTCTGTCTCAGTTCTTTCTTGTAGGGACGATTTTCCGGCAATCAATTCCTCTACACGTTGTTCTGTTTGTATTTTTTCCTTAAGGAATGATTCCTCGGCAAAACAATCCTCCAATACTTGCTCTGTCTTTGGGCATTTCTGAAGCAATAATTCCTCATTAGGGCAATCCTCCACAACTTGTTCGCTCTGTGTTCTTCCCTCTTGGAATAATTTCTCACTAGGAAAATCTTCTACAAGTTGTTCTAACTTTGGGCTTTTCTGGAGTAATAATTTCTCAGTAGGCGACACGTCAAGATGTTCGCTAAGTGTTCTTCCCTCTTCTATTTCCTGCAGCAATGATTCCTTTACGACGTCCTCCACTACTGGTTGTTTCTTTGGTGTTTCCTGGAGGAATGATTCATCTACAGTGATGTCCTCCACTACTTGTTGGGACACTGATGTTTCTTGGACACATGATTCCTCTACAGTGATGTCCTCCACTACTTGTTGTGACACTGGTAGTTGCTGGAGGCATGATTCGTCTACAGTGAAATCCTCATCGACGTGTTGTGATACTGATGTTTGGTGGAGGAATGATTCCTCTACAGTGACTTCCTCCACTACTTGTTGGGACACTGGTAGTTGCTGGAGGCATGATTCCTCTACAGTGAAATCCTCATCTACGTGTTGTGATACTGATGTTTGCTGGAGGAATGATTCCTCTACAGTGATGTCCTCCACTACTTGGTGTGACAATGGTGTTTGCTGGATGAATGATTCCTCTGCAGTGACTTCCTCCACTACTTGTTGTGATACTGATGTTTGGTGGAGGAATGATTCCTCTACAGTGACTTCCTCGACCACTTGTTTTAACACTGGTAGTTGCTGGAGGAATGATTCCTCTACAGTGACTTTCTCAACTACTTGGTGTGACAATGGTGTTTGCTGGAGGAATGATTCCTCTACA